ATACCATGGAAATTCTGAGAACAATTTTTTTAAAGTGGTGACCAAATACCACCAAATTGGTAAATTTCGATGTTACTATGTTGTAAGGCACACCCTCAATATACTCAGGTATAAACCCTTTCTAATGTGCCATGTATATGCAGATGACATCCTTCTGGGTTATTCTTTGTGTTAATGGGCACAATAAAGGACAGAAACAGTATGGACCTAACAGAAGCAGAAGATATTAAGAAAAGTTGGCAGGAATACATAGAAGAATCATACAAGACAATATCTTAATGACCTAGATAACCATGATGGTGTGATCACTCACCTAGAGCCAGACATCCTGGAGTCTGAAGTTAGATGGGCCTTAGGAAGCATCACTACAAACAAAACTAGTGGAGGTAATGAAATTCCAGCTGAGCTATTTCAAGTCCTAAAAGGTGGTGCTATTTAAGTGCTGCACTCAATATGCCAGCAAATTTGGAAAACTCAGCAGTGGCCACAGGACTGGAAAAGGTTAGTTTTCATTCCAATCCCAAAGAAAGGCAATGCCAAAGAATGCTCAAACTACTNTGACAAAGGTCCATATAGTCAAAGCTATTGTTTTTCCAGTAGTCATGGATGGATGTGAGAGTTGGACCATAAAGAAAGCTGCGCACCAAAGAATTGATGCTTTTGAACTGTGGTGTTGGAGAAGACTCTTAAGAGTTCCTTCGGCAGCAAGGAGATCCAACCAGTCCATCTGAAAGGAAATCAGTCCTGAATATTCATTGCAAGGACTGACGCTGAAGCTGAAGCTCCAATACATTGACCACCTGATGAGAAAAACTGACTCATTAGAAAAGACCCTGATGCTGGGGAAGATTGAAGGCAGGAGGAGAAGGGGACAACAGAGGATGAGATGGTTGGATGGCATCACTGACTCAATGGACACGAGTTTGAACAAGCTCTGGGAGTTGGTGATGGACAGGAAAACCTGCTGTGCCTCAGTCCATGGGGTCACAAAGAGTCAGACACAACTGAGTGACTGAACTGAACTGAACTGATTGCAGATTCTTTGCCTTGTCCCTTTCTTTTTTTAATGAATTGAATTGCATTTTCCACTACAATGTTCGACTTCCAAAAATTCTATGCCATATGCTGTTCTGTGGTTATCTAGTTGCTAGGCAACTAAACTCTACTTGAGGGTGGAAAAGAATTAAGTTCATTGCCAAGTTCGCCCCCCTTCTGAGTTCATCAGCAGGAAATCCCATATCTTTCTTCCTTCTTGAAATTATAAATCATGTGCTTCCATGTTGTCTCCATACAAAACAGTGGTACTTTCAACAAGTATGGTAACCAAAAAAGTACTCAAGGACCTTGGTAGTATACCCTGAACAAAGAAACAAGTTTATTTTTGTGACAAGTCTATTATAAAGTTTGTTCTTTGAATTAATTATACTCACTTGTTTCAATTTAATGACTGGTAGCATGTTAATGGAAGCATACAAAAACTTTGTTGAAAATATCCATGTGTATTTTAATGGAACTTGTCTATATACTCTTATGAAATTTATTTTGTATTCAGCACCATGGCATGAAAATTTTCCATGTTAGAGAGGTAGATAAATAGATAGCATTAATATATCAATGTGTGAATTTGCCACAGTTTATCCAAAAATCCCCAAATCTGCAATACCGCCAGCATTGCTGCCATGATTTTCTGTTGTTATCTTTTGTCACAGTTATCTATGATCAAAGTTACTGTTCTGTATTATTTGTATTGTGGAGTGTCTGCAAGTAATGAGTATTTTGGTTCTTCTCTAAAACTCACACTTTCCTTCTTTTTCTTTTTGATCACTAAGTCAGTGTGTCCTTTTTGTCCCCAATTATAGTAGGCATGACTTTAGTATTTTACTTTAAAAAAGTAATTTTTACATTTAGTTCCTGATAAAATGTCTTCATCATGCATGAGAAGTTTCTTATGATTACTTCTTTATTTAGAATTTAATCCAACAGGTTTTCTGTGTCTATAGATGTGAGCATATTTATTTTCTCCTCTCTATAAATAGCAATATGTTTACCATATTAATTAAGAATACATCTGATTTCAAGCAACAGAAGGCTAACAATGGCTTATGTGTTAAGGGATCCATTTTTTCCTCATCTTTCACATCTTTCTTCACATCTCACCATTTCTGAGATAAAAAAGTCTAAACATTCATGGATCCATACCTTACCTGCCATTGTGTTCCATTGTGCTAAATGGATATATGAGAATCTTCCTAGACTTTTCCTTCCACATCTGATTGATCATCCATTTCTGATATCTCTTCATTCTGTGCCTTTTCCACATCCCTTGAACCACTGTGTCAGTTCTAAACTGAAATAATTTATTACCGTAAATATTTTGACCTTCACTGTTTTGTATTGTCTTCTAATTCATCTCCCACAGATCTGCCAACATGATCCTTTTCATATGGTTATTAAAAATGATGCTTCCTTACTTAAAATATTTCAACATCTCTCTATTGCCTTAAGTGCAGAACTCACATTCTTTGACATGGCATACAAGGCCTGTCATAGTCTTGCCATTTACCAACTAAGTAACTTTATCTCTCTCCACTTTTCTGGTGAAACCAAGCTACTCACTCTTCACCAGCTACCACACTAAAGTCTGGCATAGGGGAAGTTGCATTAACACATACTAAATGAAGGAGTGAATGAAGGAAAGACTTCTCTTGGTTTGCTCATCCATTAACCAAATTTTAGGACAATTCCCCCTTTAAAATTGGAGGAAGCCAGAAGGAAAGTCTGACTGATGATTTCTCAATCATCAGTGATACCTACAGTAGTCTGGCTCTCTTTTAATATTGGGTTATTACAGCTTTTGAATGAACTGACTGACTATCCCTAAGTGATAGTGAAGAAAAAAATCAATCCTACTTTCTATGCCAACTCATTTTTTTTTCTATTAATATTCCACTTTCACCAGAAGATACTGATCCTATTGCCTATTATATACTGCCAAAAACAAGAGTCAATATTAACTATGCCAGAACTAAAATATTTGACTGGTGCACATAGTGATCAGTAGTCTGAGGATAACACTAATTAATTCTATCCAACTTGCAGATTTCTTCTGTTGTCAGGGGGGCACGCTTACAGCTAATTGATTCTGAGCACCTAAAATCTTTTGAAGCAAACTTTCCCACAAGTGTTTTGGATTACTTCTAAATCCTGCATTTAAAAGTTCTTCATGATAAAGTCCCATGAGCCTTGTTTTATGTCTAGGGATTTGGGGATCCCAATGTACAAATACTTGAGTATGTGCAGGTCTGTGTTTAAAGAAATTGATCACTACTGTCTTCTTCACTGTGGCAAGATGAAGTTATCTTCCTTTTGAATACCAAAGATGGTTGACTTTATTGCAGTAAAATATCCTTTTGTAGTTTATACATTTGTTTTATAAATATGGGTCTCAATTTAGTCAATAAAATCATATACATCCAGTTTATACTCAACTTATGTTATTTGATGTGTTGTATTTTTCTTTAAGATTTCTTGCTGAATATGTTTCAGTTTTTGTGCCACTGTATTCACATTTTTAAACTGGGTTTGAAACTAAAGTTCCAAGAGACTAAATATGGCCATATGGTCAGATAAACTGTGTCCACTCCCTATGGATTTCATTTTTCTTTTACTTGACCTCTTTTTCTACTTCAATAAGTAGCAGTACTGTAAGTACTATGATTGAGAGACCAGGACTAATAAAAAATTAAATGGTAATTTTCTCTGTATCAGGTTATTATAAAAAACAAAGGAAACTAGACAAAGAATTGAAGTATTTATAGATACATAAATCTACATTTTGTTTTATACTTCTCTTCAGTGGTGAGATTCTTATAGATAGGGATTTTTTTTTTCCATGCTTTATTTAGATGAGTGCTAGAATCCAAATTAACAGTGCTAGGTACAGATTAACAGCAAAAGAATAAAGAACAGAAACACTAAAGCAGAATATTAGAGAAATAAGCAAACATATATTATGTTTTTAAAATGGGCAAATATCTGGAACACGTAGGAGAAATATTAGAAGTAGCCTTAGAAAATTATGTATGACAGTAAATAATTTACATTAATTAATAATGATATTGTTTTTTTATTTAAGAAAAATTTGTTTGACAGATTTTTTTTCAGACATACAAAAAAATCAAGTAGACAGTTTTCCGCATATGAAATGAAAACATTCATGGAAGTGTTAAGTGTTTGTAAGTAAGTGTGAAGTGTGAGTAAGTAAACTTAGTCATGTCCAACTCTGCGACCCCATGGACTGTAGCCTACCAGGCTCCTCCAACCATGAGATTCTTCAAGCAAGAATACTGGAGAGGGTTGCCATTTCCTTCTTCCAGGGGATCTTCCTGACCCAGGGATCGAACCCAGGTCTCCTGCATTGCAGGCAATGCTTTACCCTCTGAGCCACCAGGGAAGCCCATGGAAGTATTAGGTCCTTATCAAATGGATAACCTTAGTAAAAAAATCTAGGAAATATATGCTTATGTTGAGAACACAACTCTTTTGTTTTCTCTAGCATTGTTGATGGAATATTAATATTTGTTTTCTTTTTAATATTTCCACTGGTTCCAACTTTCAATTTTCCCACTCTGAGTCATTGTAATAGATGAAAATAGTCTTCTTCATCTCTTTTCTTTTTTTTTTTCTGTGGGATTCAGTGTTCAGATTTTTATGACAAGACCCACATGATTTAGCTCAGAAATTCACAGAAGAATCAATTTTATTTTCCAACCGATAGTATGGATTTATATACAAACCATAGCTATTTCTGTGTTCCAGAATATTTCATTTTATACAGTTACGTTAATGGGTTCCATGAAGCTTTATCAAGACAGTTGAGCTATAAAATTAGGTACTTATGTGCCAAAAATAAACCACATATTTTTTATGCTTTTTTCATAATGCACTTAAAATATGGACAACATTCATTTCATTTTACTTTTTCTTTTTTTTCCCCTAAGAACGACCCACATTTCTCAGGAGGCCAATTAACCAAGTGGTGCTGGAGGAAGAAGCTGTAGAATTCCGTTGTCAGGTCCAGGGCGATCCTCAGCCAACTGTGCGCTGGAAAAAGGATGATGCAGACTTGCCAAGAGGAAGGTAAGAATGTCGTATGTATGGAAAATTGTTAGATGACCATTGAATAATTAGACAAGAAAAAGACAGTGTTAGTTGTACCACCAAACACTCTTATATTTTGGTGTATTATTTTCACACATGACTTACATTTCCAAGCCAAATATCTTCTGTTTTATATACTGAAGTCATCTAGGCTTTTGACGTTACTCTTTCATTGAGTTTTCACAAAAATGTCTGACCCTTCACTCCATCTGTTATCCCCCACTATCAAGGATTCCTGAAGCACAGTCTCTGTGTCATGGCCCTTTCCAGGTCTTCCATTATATCCCTGCTGAATTCCTGACGACCCACTCACCCCAACTGTATCCTTCAACTACTGCTCTGTTCCCGAAGCTACAGAAAGCTGCTGGGTATAGTTGATTGTAGGGTCTGCAGTGAAACAGAGGTCTCATTCAAGATAAGAGTGAAAAAGCATATCACTATCCACAGAGGGGATTTTCATTTAAGGACTTCCTGTCACTTTCCCATTTGTCATCTCTTCATGGAGAACTCTTCCAAATCTTTTCTGTTGTTCTTATCACAAAACCCCAAACCCAATCTCTCATCTCTCTATGATAAGCCCAGAAATGCTTGTAATATTTTCTGAAAATAAATATAAAACATTTTTGTAGTCCAGATTCTTCCAGGACCTTGCCTTTTATGATCAAATAAATCAGCCAAGTTTTTTTTTTTTTATTCCTATGTAACACATGAGTTTAGCTATAAATTTGTTTTGCCTTCCTCCTAGTCCTGTCTTCTGAAACTACAGGTATCGCACCTACTACAATCATGATCTGCAGAAAATTTCATTTCCTGCCTTTTTGCTAATTTTCTTTCCTAAAAAAGAAATTAGGTTTCATTCAACTGCCTGAGTTAAACATACTTTCACAGAAATGAAATTTCCTTTCTTTATGCTTTCACAGGCACTGCTATTGATTCTTTCCTGAATGTATACACTCATTTCAAAATCTCAATTTTATATATCCCTAGGTCTGTGACATTATACTTTCTAAAATCACATCATCAACAGCACTGTCTTGAAATGGACCAAACATTTTAAATAGTGAGAGGTCCCTTTGCAATCTACTACAGGAATGAGACAAGTGGAAATTTTAATTTGCTTAGCTTTGGAGAAGGAAATGGCAACCCACTCCAGTATTCTTGCCTAGAGAATCCTGTGGACAGAGGAGCCTAGTGGGCTGCCATCTGGGGGGTCACACACACAGACACGACTGAAGTGACTTAGCAGCAGCAACAGCATAAATAGTAGAGAAACAGGCTCTATGTTTCTTTTTTCACTTTGCTGTCAGTTATCTTCCTGACACCAGGCCTTCCCAGGTGGCTCAAGTGATAAAGAATCTGCCTGCAATGTGGGAGACCTGGGTTTCATCCCTAGGTTGGGAAGATCCCCTGGAGGAGGGCATGGCAACCCACTCCAGTATTCTTGCCTGGAGAATCCCATGGACAGAGGAGCCTGGTGGGCTACCGTCCTTGGGATTGGACACGACTGAGCGACTAAGCAGAGCACAGTCAGATATCTAGTTTTATTTTGTTTATTTATTTTTTTTTAGATATCTAGTTTTAAAGGAATGCTGCTAGGAAAGGTTTGTTGCATGTGAAGCTCCTCAGACTTTCTCAGTGGAGAAGCTTGTTGAAAAGCAAGTAGAGTTGATGAATTTGAGTTCCTGGAGTCCATTTTCTACAGATACTCTAACTTTCCACAAATATGACAGCACTTTAAGACTAAGAGATTAATTATATTTTAAAATTAGCATAGACAAAGTTTAATTTTCAATTACTAGAAATAAACAGCTTGTCCATACAAAATCTCTCATTTAGGGATAATTTTGGATTCACAGAGAAAATTCAAATTTAGTTCAGAAAATCCCCATATTGTTATCTTATACAACTGTGAAAGATTTATAACTCATAATAGACAAATGCAGATACATGATAATGAAAGTTTATACATCATTTTGATTTCACCAGCCTTCTTTTTACTCCAGGATCCTGTCTGGGGTATTTTAGTTGGATGTTATAGGATATTGCATTAAGTTGTCATGTTTTCCAAGTCTCCTCTGTTCTATGACAGGTTCTCAGTCTCTTCTTGTTTTATGACCTTAAGCTGTTCTGGCCAGGTGTCCTAAGAATGTTTCCAACCTGGATGTGTCAAGTATTGTCTCATAATTAGACTGATTTTCTGGGACTTTAAGAAGAAAGCTACAAAGAGTGCTACTTTTGTCACATGATCATCAAGGTTTACATGATATTCACATTACATCCCTGGTGATCTTGATATTTTTAATCGTTAAATAGGATCCTATGGACACAAGTTGAAAAAATAGAAAGTTGTAAGGGTGTATTACATTTTAATGGGTCTATGTGTTTGAATTTAGGTAAAATATAGCTTAAGCCTACTTTGATTTCTTCCCAGATTGCTCTAGGTGTTAGGTCATAAACCTGACAACTGTATTTGCCACAATATTCTCCAAATCTTGACCTATTCATTTGTTTCAGAGCTCAAATGATACATGTAAATCAAATAACAGCATTAAAGCTGCATTTTATGAATGTCTGATATAAAAACCTCTAAAGACAAAGTGAAATTTTTGAAATTATGCCTCTACTAACTTTCCTTGAAACATTTTGTAGGTTTGTCCTCTATATTCTTCTATTACTGGCATGAGATGACTACAGTGCTTTGTGTGACCAGCTAAATATTTTTAAAGTATTAGGCAAATGGAAATGCTGTGTAAGCTTTAAAATTGTATGTTAGAAAGGCTTAAAGCAAGGATCAGTGCAATGTAGAAATTGAGGTCAGTATTTTTATCATGATAGAAGCCATGTAATTTTTCTTGAAATCTCAATCTTTAAATGGTATTTCAAAGAAGCTTATTCATTCTTAGCTTTGTATGCATTAGCATAAGCTTCACTTTCGCATAATGAGGGGGAAGGAGACCTCTTTACTTGGTGACGAATAACAGTAATAACTTTTAACCACCCATAGCCTAAATCAACAACATTGATTCTATTACATTATTTAGGTCTCAGACTAGGGAGATGGCCATTGTTCTTGTGTAAGCAATTGTGTGGAGTGGTGTGGAGGATGACATTTCTTTGGCTTAACATTTAATGTAATTTGAATGAGGTTTATGTAGTAGTTCATGCTTAACACATTTATAGTAAAGCTTTGTAGGGCAGCTGCATAGCCTGTAATTACTATGTAAGTAATATGTGACTATTTTTCTTTTGGAGACAAGAAAAGCTTTTCAGTTCAAGTTTAAATTTATGAGATGCTGTGATAGCTATTTAAACTTTCAACACAGACAAAGATATCTGTACCAACCTTTCCGTTACCAGAGATGAATTAACAGAGTATTTTTTTTCTTTGCTGTGAAAATATTTTAAAGTAGTACCCGTGTACCTCTTTCTTTGATTTAGCCCTAAATTTCTGACCTTTCTCAGTAACTATCATTAATGAAATTACAGCTTATCATTGCTGAGTTATACTAAAGACATTTTTTGTTTTAATATTTCAGTGAGGTTGGTTAATAGTAATCCCCATGTATAACAATAACCTTGATACCCAACCAGGGAAAAGTTATTTATCTGGACATTTTCTGTATGCCAAAGAGACAGTTGGAAGGACCCTTCATTTTGTATAAGTAGTGAAAAGTGTGAAAGTGTTCGTTGCTAAATCATGTCTGATTCTTTGGGACCCCATGGACTATAGCCCACCGGCCTCCTCTATCAGTGAAATTCTCCAGGTAAGAATAGTGGAGTGGGTAGCCATTCCCTTCTCTAGGGAATCTTCCCAAGCGAAGGATCAAACCCAGCTCTCCTGCATTGCAGGAGGATTCTTTTCTGTCTGCGCCACCAGGGAAGCCCTCATTTTATATAAGCTCCTGTTAAAACGTTCATCACTTGCATTACCCCTGTGCTCCAGACAAACCGAAACATGGGAGTTAGGAGCAGAGAAAGTTTTTCTTCAGGGCCTTGCAAGGCTCCTGCCTTAAAAAGCCTGGAGCTCCTGCAAGGGTTTCTGTAGAGCATTTTAAAAATCCAGGCGAAGAAGGGCAGTTCACATCCCCCATTTGGTGGTAGTTCTAGCATCTGTAAAACAGCTCATGAAATGTGCATTACTTGGTGCTTACCTTGGTACTTCAGAGAGGACCTAAAGCAGAGGATATGGAAGAAGATATCCCTGGAAAGCACCACACGGTCTTGTTCAGCCACACTCGCAGAAACATCCTAAGATACTACTGTTTTCACAGTTGAAAGTTTCAGGAAGAAAAAGGAGGTCATTACTTTTTTTGTGATTGTGCTGAGTATCAATATCTTTTACTCCAGAGACTCTCAATATATATGTGCTTAACTAAGCTGACACCAGCTCATTTATTAGGCACGAGAATTCTACACACCACTGTGAAAATAAAATGGGTAGGGAGAACAGAATGATGAAATAAAGGGAAAGACATTCTGTAGTTCATAATGAGTAAGTGTTTTAAAAGCACAGTTTTTTCCAAAGTGTAATTTAAATAGTAGAAGAAGCACTTTAAGTTTTGCCTATGTTGTTAAGTACCTGTTGTATTTATAATGCCCACTGATAGTCTGTAAAAAGCAAGTCACTTTAAAGCAAGGTAAGTATACGATTACTGATTTTTTTATTTTATTTTATGTTAATCAAACTGAGTGATGTAGGAAAGTATTCACATTCTAAAACATTAATGAAAGTTAAAACCAAAGTAGTTGTAGTGTCTTTCTTGGGTGCTGCATCTTTTTCTTCCAGGCAAACCAAGTACTCTTGGTGATCAGATTCTTTCAATACATCTTTTCACAAAGTGTTTCTTGTGATAGAAATTGCCCATATTGGGGAATGTTCCATTTTCTGTCATGGTCCATCATAGCATACATAGAAATAGTGTATATTTTGCAATGTAAAAAATATACATATGCTGAAGCTTTATGAGAAATAGCATGTA